TTCTCTAGTGTGTCAAACCCTTTCAATGCCTTCGATTCATTAAAAAATCCCATCTATGCTGATGTGTACCCTTTTATCCATAAGATTTTACAGCTCATAGACTCATGTAGAATGATATTCTATGAATAACATACTTTCACTTTTGCCATTTAGCTTACTTCTTCTTTGATCAAGTATGCGTTTGAAACATAATGATCCAAACATTTTTAGATATTTTACACTAGGCTTTCTTCCACTCTAAACTTCTTTAGGAAATTTCATCTTCAACTTTGTGGTAGAGAATTTGTTTAGTATATAAGGGATTGTGTTGACAACTTATCCCTAAAACATATGATACATGTTCTTATGCTTTTGCATTCATTTATACATGTCAAGCATGGTCCTATTTTTCCTTTGTGGTAGAACATTATGCTAAGGAGTATATGGTATAGTAACTCCATGTTCTATGCATCACTGATGCAAATTTACTCAAATTCCTTTGAGGTATTCTCTCCACCACTATCAGCTCTCAAATGCTTTATTACTTTCCCATTCTTCTTTTCAATACAAGTTTTGAGCTTCTTAAACACTCCAAGAGCTTCACTTTTGAATTTGGTGGTATATAACCACAACATTATGGTATATTCATCAACCATATTTATGAATACTTTCTCCCACTTAGTGATGATACTTCAAAGAGGCCACATATATCAAAATGCACATCCTTTAATCTCTTAGGAGTGTCTCATGTAAAAGCCAATTTTTTTTGCTTGCCTCTCAAACAAGTTCACATGTCGTTAATGTTTGCATTCAGTTTAACCAAACCATGCACTAAATTCTTAGAAATAAATTTCATTATGTTTCTAAAATGTAGGTGACCATATCTCATATGCCACATCCACTCAAGTTTATTAATATTTGGCATACAAACCTCATTTATAGTCAGAATGCTATAAATGAATACCTTATTCTTTGACAAATTTGACTTTAGTATCAACTTCTTTTGTGGATAAAATAGTTGGGTGAATTACCATTCATTTTAGTTGAAAAACCTATTTCAACCAGTTACCTTATACTAAGTAGGTTTCACATAATCCCAAGTTCATAGAGTACCTTTTCCATAAGTGTATCCATGACATTCTTTCTTCTTGTTACAATGTCACATATGTCTTTTACTACAAGGTAAGTGTTATTTGTAAGTCTAACGTTGATTTGATTACCTATATTAAGGTTTATAACTAATTCCTTGTGTTCAATCATGTGATTGGAATACCTTACATCAAGATACCATAACTCAAGCATAATGTTTCCTTCATACACTTTGGCCCTCATCAAAACGACCAAAGTCATATTCATCATCATGAGGTATACGCTCCTCTTCCACACTTCTTTGGTTCTTCATCCCTTCTTTCTAGTATTAACATTCATAAAAAGATGTTCTAACATTTTACAATTGTAGCATTGCAACTTTGATTGGCCAGTTGGTTCCGAGACTCCATCCTATCTTGAAGGATTCATCTTTGTCATCAATGAATACTAACAAATCTAACAACTTAAAAATACTATATTTTAGAATTATCAAGCAATAAGTTGTTCATGGTCAACTGGATAGTCTACAATACTTGTTGTATCATACAATAAATACATGGAATTCAAAGTCCCAAGAGTACGAGATAAAGAAATTGAAAATATTAAGATTGAAAGTATTAAAGATTAAGTTGGAATAAAATGAAAATAAAAATTCAATTAAAAATCTTTAAAACAAAAGAAGAATTATAAATAAATAAAAATTATCTGTGATTAATATGATTTTTGAATTAGACTCAGTTAGTTGACTTCAAGAATGTTTAGGTTGAATTCAAGTCCGAGTTATTACACAACTACGAGATATTGTCTATTTTAGATGTAAGAACCTTTACAAATTTTTTTTTTAAATTTAAAAAGTGTGTCTCATCGAATTGAAGTGTATGATTATTGTATATAAACTACCACTAATTTTGATTTTTAAATAATGTGAAACTATTTTAACTGGCCCGAAACAAATATGCAATTTCTTACTTCTCAAATCAACGCGTTTTGCCAATAAACATTTAACTATTTGAAAATAAAATTACCCCATATTCAAAATAACTTTTTTACATATCCTCTTAGAGTTCAACATTTATTTGATCACATGTATCATTGTACCCATATTGTTTTGTTTTGATCAAGTATAAGAATCTTTCAAATCAAAAGCAATCATGTCACAATTGTTTTGGTTGAGGTTGCAGCCAGCCAGTACTCACTCACACCAGCACCACATAGGCCTATTGCTTTCTTTTTCTTTTGGTCCTGTCACACTCTTCACAAAGAAGAGGTAAAAATTATCTAACCATAAAGTAAAAAAAAAAACTTACACAAAGATATTGATGTTATTGGTCCAATCCATGTGGTCTCAACAGCTTAAAAATTCTTATTGTAAGGTATTGACTTGTTTGTAATCATCATCATCACCCCATCATATTCATATTTTCTAATGCCTACTTTATACAATAACACAAAGTGCTTACATATAAATATATAATTGACAAGAATCCTAAGTTGTGTTGCTGTTAGAAATGGGAATAGGAATAAACAAAAGCTTAAACAAGTAGAGTTTGGCGTTGCATATTCTTTGCTTTTTCTTCTAAATTTCATTCACTTATATCTAATTAACATTATCCTTATAAAATACACTACTTAGTAGGAGCAACGTCAACATAGCTGGATGGTAGGGTACAACTACCCCACAAAGAAACAACCCATACACATCTTTCAATCTCTCTCTAACCCTTTTGGTCATTTTTTCCTTTATTTGTGTATATACATGATAAATATAAATCAACTAAAATCTTTATGAAAATAAATACATACAACCGATTTATTTGATAATTGTGCAGAAATAATTTAGTAGAGATCGTAAAATGGATCTAGTCTGTTGGATATGCTGGTTTTATTTACATTTTTTTATGTGATGACTTAAGATCTTAGTCATGCACTCTCTAACATATTCGTTTTGTTTCATTCTATATATTTATCTGCATTCTTTTTATGTGATGGGTTAAAGTCTTAGTCCTGCACCTTTTAACATATCCGTTCGGTTTAGAAAATTTTAAACTCGCATCTTCCACAAAGTCCCACCCTATTTTTTTTTTTTAAATTTTTGCAGAACAAACCTAGAAATGGCGAGGCATGTCTGTTTATCATCTTATAGACCGATCATTGAATGTTTTTATACAAATATCTAATCATTTGAGCTACTTAATTGGATAAATAAAACTACCAACTAAACTGATTTAACTGGATAATGTCTATATATAACTACCAACTGAACTGATTTAACTAGACGGATTTACCTACATACAAATATGTACAAATCTACTTCGTCATTGTGTCATATTTTTTAACAGTATGAATCTGCTACAGCTTGGATGTTCTGTACACGACACACACAAAATAAACCTCAATTCAACTTGCGGTACCAGACAACAATTATGCTAGTACTTTACAGCCCACAAAATTATTAATATTAATATTTCCATCTCTCTTTCTCTCTCTCTCTCTCACTCACAAACACTTTCTCTCTCCAACAATGTTTTTACCTGTGTAGTAGTAGTAGTAGCATCTTGTTTGTTGAATTGAATTGAATTCATGAATGAAAAGAATAAAAAAGGGTCAATTGTTTTTAAGGGTTTGTTTTTTCATGTACATACATAGATAAATATTAATGGTGATGATTTCATAATTGAGTTGTTTGGTAGCAATAAACCTGCTGATAGTGTCTTGTGTCTGTCGGCGCAAGGTCACTTTCTGTCGGCATTGTCTCTTTCCACTATCCAACCATCAAACACAGCAATTTCTCATTTCATTTCAACTACAATTGCTTCTGGTTTTGATTCTGTGATTCTGTGATTCTGTGATTCTGTGGTTGAATGTTTAGTGAATTTCTTGGTTCATATGTGGGAAGAAAGAGAGAGATTTTGGGTTAAGCTTCGTATTGGTGATCACCATTGGAAGAAGGTTTCTGCAAAGTTTCGTTGGTAAATGTATCACAGGCTTTTTCAGATCCTGCTTCATTGTTTTTATTTCACTAAAAGTAATCACTCTATTCTTTTTCTTCTTGTTACTTTTTTTTTTCTTTCAACACTTGATTGATGCAATGTTATTAGGCTGATAGATCCAATTTTATCATCTTGCATGACATTTAGAAACAATTAATTTGTTGGAATTCATGAACTTGTTGAGGTTTTTGTTTGAATACTGTTTTTTATGTACTCTTCTTTTTGTGCTGCATTACATTGTAATTATTTTTTTTTATTTAGTTTTTGTATCTTGCATTCTCAACTGCATGCCTTTTCTTAAGTGTATGTTTGGATTGACGAAATTTTTGTTAAATCGCCGCGATTTTGTTGAAGATTCAAAGTATACTTTTTACCAAATTTGCGGTGGTTCAATGTCAATCCAAACATGCACTAAGTCACCGTCTTTCGCAAATTCATGGTTTTAAATTGCGGTGGCTGCAATGTGTAATGCAGCCGTTATAGCGTGAGTTTTTATTGAAATGCAGCCGTTAATACTTTTCAAAAGTAAATTGAGTATTGGTTTCTAAATTGATTTTCGATTAAAATACTTGAAGAAACTTAGGCGAAGTTGTCTGATGCGGTTCCTAATGTGGAAGAAGGCATGATTTCAAATCACACCGTAATTGTGGTCCAATGCGGTTGAGGAGACACCGCATCAGTAATATTGAGGCCGTAATTGTGGTTGCAGACCGCAATTTAAAACCATTGGTTTAGGTAGTTCGAAAAGCATAGAAATATGTCTCTAGTTTTATTAGCTAATAACAAAAGAGGATCTATCTGTTTTGTTTTGTTTAATAGCATATTTGATTCATATTTCATAGATTGTGATCTTTTGTTATTGTTTTTTGGAATTCAGGTTTCATGTATAAGAATAGTTGGTGTAAATTTGTAGAAGAAAAGTGAAGTGATTTTCCATACCAGATGTCAAGTTCTCTTGCAGCAATAATAGGAGGAGCTGCAGGAGCCGCGGCATTGGTAGGGATATCGATAATACTTTTATGGTTTTGTTTGTTTCGCCAAACAAGCGTTTCTAGAACTTCAGAGACAGGATCCTCTGATCCTTCACAAGGTAACAAACATCTAAGTTAGTGTATTAAGTAAAAGTAACCGATACGTGTTAGCTTCGTTAAAATGATGCGAATGAATTCCATTACATGCAGTGGGAAGACATGGTGGAATTGAGTTGCAAATGCGAGATACTAGGCGTTTTGCGATAGATGAACTCTCTCATGCAACAAAGAATTTCACTGACAAAAATTTGATCGGAGAAGGAAAATTCGGTGAGGTTTATAAAGGCTTACTTCAAGATGGGATGCTTGTAGCCATCAAGAAGCGTGGCGGTGCCAATAGTCAGGAATTCGTTGATGAGGTAATAGTCAGTTTCTTTTCTGAATGACAGGCTTTATTGTAAAGAAATTGTTAAACCAGTTTGATGATTGATTATGATGCATAACTGTATTGCGACTTCTTAGGTACGTTATCTTTCATCCATTCAACATCGGAATCTAGTTACTCTTATCGGCTATTGCCAAGAAAACAATCTACAGTTTCTTATATACGAATATGTGCCTAACGGAAGCGTCTCAAGTCACTTGTATGGTAAATTTCTGCATTTTCACCTGTGACATGTTCCATTTCAACAAAGTTCAATCATATATATCTGCAAAGTTTTGTTGTTCTGTTGCCGATGATTGTGGTTTCGATTTTCCCTTGAAGGTGCTAGTCAACAACCACGAGAGAGGCTAGAATTCAAGCATAGACTCTCAATAGCTCAAGGTGCAGCTAAAGGTGATCCTTAGCAAAATCAGTGAGCATTTGTGGCTTTCCTGGTATCAGTTTTCTTCTCTTTTCGATAAATATAATACACCGAAAAGTATCTTAATGGATCCGTAATCCTAAGACTTTCAATCATTTGGTAAACCTTGTCTATGCATAAAGCTATGAGGAACTCGGTTCTGATTTTCAAAAGCTAATTCGTAATTTGTACACAATGCAGGTTTGGCTCATCTTCATTCTTTGAGTCCGCGTTTGGTGCATAAGAATTTCAAAACATCTAATGTTCTTGTCGATGAAAACTTCATTTCTAAGGTCGCAGATGCAGGACTTCGTAATTTTCTAGGGAGAGTTGAAATTGTAGGCTCGTCTTCACAGGTGGCATCAGATGAGATATTTCTTTCCCCCGAGTAATTTCTCTAAAAATTATCTATGATGAACGTTTTTCGGATATCCATCCATTTTGCTTTATTTACATACACCACCATCGATTGCAGGGTGAGAGAGTTCCGACAATTTTCTGAGAAGAGCGACGTGTATAGCTTTGGGGTATTTTTGTTGGAATTGTTGAGTGGGAAGGAAGCAACAGAATCACCCTCTATAAACACTAGTCAAAATCTGGTCGAATCGGTATATGATTATCCTTTAACTTCATTGTTAGAACTACTATTCAAACCATATCGCTATACAATGTAAAACTCTCAACACACACCCTAAACGCTCAGGACCATACATACATCCACTCTATAGCACTAACACTTTTGATATGTAAGACACGCGACACATGTGATTACATTCAATTAATTAACTTTCTGAAACTATTACCGAAGTTGACAATGACATGTCAGAGTGTTTTTGTCTGTGTCTGTATCTGTGCTTCATAGCTTCTACGTGATTGATACGTACTTTTTATGTTCCTATAACTTAGGTGCTAAGTAATCAAGACAGTAGCACCATGTCTGCAATCATTGATCAAAGAATGGAAAGTAGATTCACAGCTGAAGGAATGGAAAACTACATTCTACTCTTGATAAGATGTTTGGATCCTTCAATCGAAAGAAGACCTTCGATGAGCTACGTCGAAATGGAACTCGACCGAATCCTCGAAAAAGAGATGAACTTAACAACAATGATGGGTGAAGGAACACCAACTGTAACACTCGGAAGTCAATTATTCAAATCAACTAAATAAATAAATAAAAATGTATTATTGTGATAAATTATTATATTTGTGAATTACATAGGGCTAGTTAGCTGCTTCACAAGTGTATAAAAAGCAGTTGTATCTATCTATCCCTTGTTTTATTTTTCCTGTGCCATTGAGCAGTTGTATTCTTTTATTTTCCCATCATGATTTTTTTGGGTTCATAAAATGTATGAGATTGAAATCTCTTGTAAGAAATTATTTGTTAATATGACAGTGAAGATTGGTTGTTGTGGTAAACAATTTATCCATTTTTTTCATCTATGAATCTTAAAAGAAAAAGAAAATTATCAATTTGGAATGGTCATAGTGATAAACAGCTCATCTCTAAAAATTTGGCCATTTAAGAATTTGTAATGTTACAATATTGGTTATTCACTATTTTTGGACCAATTTGGGTCTCTAAATGTTTCTATCTTTTTGCAATTTCGTGGTCCCCTAATTTCTCTCTCTCTCTCTAATTTAAAGCTTATGAGACATGGAAAAAGATGATATAAATCTGAACTATTTGGGTGATACTTTACAAATGTAGTACAAGAGATAAACACTCCTCTATAGAATATAATGATAAATGAAACTTCTCAAATAATAAAGAAAAAAAAATTGACCATTTTGCTTTTATGTCAAGATGAATTTTGTAGTGTTATATTTATAAATAATTTTATATAGGGCGACAATTTGGAACCGTCATAGGAGAAGGTGAGGATACGAGATAAAGGTATCGTCTTGCGCTTAAAGTTTTCTTGTCAAAAAGAAGAAAAAAACGTGGAATAAGATATGTCTTTGACAAAAAAAAGTCAGAATCAGTACTGACCCGCGTTCTCTTTGGAAATAAGGATTCATTCATCCACTACTTCACTAGGTGGACATTGGCCATTTTCCAAGAAACCCTAGGTTTTAGAGACCCTTATAAATACCTCATCCCTCAGGAGAGAAAATGAAAAACTCTCAAGTAATACACACTTGCTACTACTCACTACTACTGAGAGAACACTTTACTCCTAATAGCCTTAACACTTCAATCTAACCGTCCGCCTGCAATCCATCAGTGTCGGCCACCAACATGACCCCTTACCTCACGTGAACTCGTATCTCAAACAACCTCAAAAACTACTACATAGGGCTACTTTCCACCTTAAGTTAGCCATCACCCCCAAACGTGTAATACACCTGCTAGGGTCTCTGAGACTCCTTGTCCTTGCAAGGGGAACACACACAAACATCTGTACTTTTTCGACAATATAGGGGCGTCCAATAAAACTAACTTGGGTCACACCTTTCACTCCAACCCTATCAGCCTTCATTTTCCTATCAAGAAATGAGTGACGGGGTCCTACATCACACAACAAGCACCATTGTCGGAGATACGCGAGGTAGGCGCTCTCTGCGAATGTCATATTCTCCAGCTTTCCAAAGAACAATGCACGAACAAACAGGGTCAACATCGTTTTCTCTGAAGAAGATGCCCTAAGCATTAACCCTCACGACAATGATCCCTTTGTCATCACCGATCAGCATGACAACTGAGATATCAGACACATCCTGATAGACCCGGGTAGCTCAGTCGATGTCTTGTTCTAAGATGCTTTCCAGTAGTTACAACTAAATCTAGACGATGTATAGGGGTTCACAGACTTTGTGACAGGATTGTCAGGGAATAAATACAAATAATGGGCTATGTGACCCTAGAAACCACCTACGGTGAGGGATCTGACGCCAAAATCATCAACGTTAGCTACCTCGTTGTGGATCTGTCGCCTTAAAACATCATTCTGCGGTGCCCGACCATCAACGCCCTAGGAGTGGTCATATCTACCTGATATATAACCTTGAAGTATCCATTCCTAGATGATAGAGTGGGTACCATTTGAGGAGATCAAAAAGAAACTCGTGAATGTTATCTGACTAGCTTGGAGACACTTAGAGAAGAACTCACATTGGTTGATATCCATCCTTCCGAAATTCCAAATACTAACTTCGAGGATTAGGCCCTAAATTGGGTACAGAAGCGGAACGACTCACGCCCATAGAAGACTGGAAGGAAGTCCAAATAAGACCTCACGCCAATCAAGTCACAAAGGTCGACACTTCCTTGTCTACATGAGAGGAGCGAGAGCTAGTCGACCGACTCAAAAGAAATACCGAATTGTTCGCTTGGGCCCCCTCGGAGATGCCCATTATAGACACCAAAGTCATGAGCAATCACCTTGCCATCCATCTATCAGCTAAACTAGTGGCACAAGCGGAAGGAGGGCGAAAAAAGAGGGTCGTCATTCATAAAGAGGTGGAAAAGCTATACAGCAACAGATTCATCATTAAGATAAAGTACCCCACCTTGTCGGCCAACGTAGTCTTGGTACAAAAGGCCAACAACAAATGGAGCTTGTGTGTAGACTTCACGAATTTGATTTCTGTCAGCCCCAAAGATTCGTACCCGTTGCCGAACAACGACTTCCTAATCAACATATCTTCAGGTTATCGCGTGCTAAGTTTCATGGACACCTATTCAGGGTATAAACAAATTAATATGGATCCCCTGGATGCGCCTAAAATCGTTTTCATGTCGAACCATGTCAACTTCTATTACAATGCCATGCCCTTCGCCCTCAAAAACCTTGGTGCCACATACTAGTGACTCATGGATGTTGTATCAAATTGGGCAAAACCTGGAGGTATATATCGACAACATGATTATCAAGATAGCAGAAGGACATAGTCACACCAATGGCTTGTAAGACATTCTGAAATTGGTAAAAAGGTATGACAAGCGCCTAAATCCCGCCAAATGCTCTTTCGGAGTATAGGCAGGGAAATTTCTAGGGTTTATGCTTACAAGAAAGAGGATTGAAGTCAATCCAGACAAGTGTCATATGGTCATCGATATGAGGAGCCCCACTAATGTGAAGGAAGTGCAACAATTTACTAAACGCCTAGCCTCCCTTTCTCGCCTCCTCTCCTGTGTGGGCGACAAAGCTTTTCTTTTCTTCGCCTCCCTGAGGAAAAAGAAGAAGTTCGAATGGACAAACGAGTTTGAGGTAGCTTTCGGCAAGATCAAGGATTTCCTCACACCACCCTCGATCCTCACTTTCCTGGAGGAGAACTCACCCTTAATCCTCTAACTCTTGGTCACTGAGCGGATGATGAGCTCAGTTCTTGTCCAAGAAATAGGAAAAGCAAAAAGACACATGTATTTCATAAGCAAAATTTTCAAGGGCGCTGAGACGCGCTACCACAAGATTGAGAAGCTCGCGTTGGCCATTGTCACCGCACAGAGAAAGCTTCGACCTTACTTCCAGGGGCACACCATCCTGGTAAAAACTAACTATCTCGTCCATCAAGTTTTGAGGAAACTTAACCTGGCGAGAAGAATGATATCTTGGTCGATAGAGCTCTCAGAATACGGCATCCAATGTGTTCTGAAGGGGAGCATCAAGTCTCAAGCTCTGGTCGACTTTGTATTCGAACTCAACTTGCCCATCTAAGAAGATCGATCGTCAGAATGGGTGTAAGTTCTATGGTTTTTAGTTTGGCAATTTTGTTAAAATAAGTTCACAGCAAGATGTTGAGACAAATGTCTTAACAAGTTAGTCAGACAACATGTTTAGCATGATGTTGGGACATGTGGCAAGACATGTTATACCAGAAGATTAGGGTTGGGACGACTGGGTATTTAAAATGTGATATTTGATTGTATTTTAATTCAATAGTGTTGTAATACAAGAAGGGGTATTTTAGGAACTTCTGTCGTGACAGATTAACATGTTTTTCATAAAAAAAGATCTTAGAGACTTTTTAGGGAACTTTCAATTCAGTTCCTATTTATGTGCAGAACATTTGAAGTTGTTATTTTGTGATTTACGTTTTATTTATTAAAGAGCCCATGATCATGCTGATCTGAAGGCTATTTAAAGAGGAATTTTAAACTTAATGCAAATAGAGAAGTCGTGTATTGAAAGAAATAGTATTAGGGTTTAGAGAGTTTATTCTTTTTGTTTTCTGTTCTTTATGATCCTCTCTTATGTCTTTTGACATTTGAGTTGGACTATTTTGTTTGTGCATTTGTGAGTCATTCATGTACTCCTTAGGTACTTCAATTATATTGTGTTTTGAGTTGTAATCAGTCCTATGTTTTTAAGCAAAGAGTGGATTTTTGTGTCTTTGGAAGTGTGACTTCCTTTCTTCTTTATTGTTGAGTTTTGTAACTGTTGTGTGACTAGTGGGAAGTGAGAGGTCTCATATCTAGGAGTTCCTAGGTAGAAGTTAGCACGGGTAGTGATTAGGTGAGAAGCTTATAAACCTGTGGGTGTTTGCTTTGGCTTTGAACTAATACTATTATAGTGGATTTCCTTCCTAGCTTGGGTGCCCCTAGATGTAGGTGATGTTGCACTAAACTAGGTTAACAATTGATTTTGGTATTGTTTACATTCAAGTTTTTATTTTTTTGCATAAGTGTCTTGTGTTGTCTTGGTCCTAGTGTCCCAACATATATCTTGACATCTGGTATCTGTGTGCCAGAATTTCAATTGGTATTAGAGCATGTCACCCTATTCTTTTTGGGGTGAGATCCATAGAGATATCCTTTCTAGCGTAATGGACAAGGAAGCAGGAGAGAATGTAAACAGACCTCCCATCTTGGACGGAACCAACTATGACTATTGGAAGGCACACATGGTGGCCTTCTTAAAATCCATGGATAGTAAAGCTTGGAAAGCTATCATCAAGGGTTGGGAAAAACCTATGTTTAAAGATAAAGATGGGAAGGAAACTCTGAAGCATGAAGAGGATTGAACCAAAGAAGAATATGGGACTGCTTTTTGAAACTCCAAAGCCTTGAATGCCATATTCAATGGTGTTGATAAAAACATGTTTAGGTTAATTAACACATGCATTGTAGCCAAGGATGCTTGGGAAATTCTCAAGACAACTCATGAAGGTACATCTAAGGTGAAGATGTCTAGACTTCAGTTGCTCACTACCAAATTTGAAAT